TTACTGGGTCTATATCTGCGGTAGAGCAAGTCGTTCTCTAGGAAGAACCCAGGAATACTGTCGGGTTGAGTCTCAGCCTGGAAAAACAATGGTGTTAAAGTAAGATCTTCCCTCTGCAACTTACGGAACTCCAACTTGGTCAGATGCGGGGGGAGTTTCTGAGGGTCTTGAGGGACAGCGGTAGCAGTAGAGTCAGCTGGCTGTGGACGTGCGGCTTGTGCACGGGTGGTCACGAGAACCGGAGGAGAAACTTCATCACTCTCTTGAACCTCTGCTGGAACATACTCAAGAATAGGATTTATTGGCACAGAGTTACACACCTGGGGCTTGTCCATGACGATCAGGTTGGTCGGTTGCAGGTCTTCTGCCAAGTCGTTGCCTAGGAGAAGTTGCACTCCAGGCATGGGAAAAGGCTTTTCCCTGACAGCGACTTGGACTTCCCCGTTCACGTAGGGACAATCCAGGTGGACTCTGGCGAGAGGGTATGGAGTGGTAGCAGTGAGGTCAGTGATGAAGACTGTTTCCCCCGGTGTAGACTATGTTGGGCACAACCGACTTCAAGATGATCGATTGTAGAGCCGCTGTGTCCCTCAAGATCTTCAATTTGAAACGTCCCTCCGGATTTGAACCGTTGGCAGAGACAGTTCCAGTATACAGGTGGTTACTGAAAAGAGAAAGATCATTAACATCAACACCAACATTCATCACAGGCTTACCGGACTTAGGAGGAGTTGGTTTGGGTCGTTGTTGGTCAGTGGTTCCCTTGTATTGAGACTTACCACACTTGTCTATGGTATGTCCATAGAGTCTACAATACTTGCAGTACAGTTGTGAACCAGCTTGATCGGGGCTCACCTTCTCGTAACTGTACCACGACTTCTTACTGGAGGATGGTTCAGGTGTCAGCCGGTGGATGAGGCTGTAAGTGTCAGCCGACTTAGCACACTTCAGGTAGTCGGTTTCTTCTTTATCTGCTAAGTAGAGGCGGACAGGAGGCGGCACACGTCTCAAGAATTCTTCAACAAGCATCAGGTTGACGAGTTCTGTAAAAGTAGAGACATGTGCTGCTTCCAGCCATTTCATGAAATACCTCCGTTTCGTGTTAGCAAACTCGAGGAAGGTAGTGGTACTTGCCTTCAGGTGGTCACGGAATTTCCTTCTATAACTTTCTGTGGAAAGTAGGTAGGCGTCTAACACTGCTTGTTTCAGAGTGTAGTAGTCATTCTCAGACGCCAAAGTACTGAGTGTGACTGCAGCTCTACCTGTAAGATGGACTCTGAGAAGTGTGGCCCATTGGTCGACAGGCCAACTGAGTTGATTAGCAAGGGTTTCAAAGGTGGTAAAGAACACATCAACTTCTGCTTCTACAAAGGATGGCATTAACTTACTTGCATGTGATATATTAAAACTGACGGGAAGATTGGCAGTAGCTTGTTGGCGTTGAGTGAAGTGGGAAGTTTCCAAGGCGATTTCACGTTGACGACACTCTAGAGCCAGAGTTGCTTGTTGCTTGTCATGTTCGCGTTGCATCTCCAACTCGCGTCGTTTGGTTTCAAGCTGTACTCGTTCCCGCTCCTGGAGTAGTGCAACCTCACGTTCTTGGAGGGCGAGTCCTCGTTCGTGTTCTTCTCTCCTCAAAGCAGCTTCGCGTTCTCTGAGGGTGATTTCTCGTTCTTGTTCTTCCCTCCTCAAAGCAGCTTCGCGTTCTTGTTCTTCCCTTCTTATGGCAGCCGCTCGTTCTTGTTGTTCGAGGGCTTCCTTTGCTGTTCGCGGGCTTCCTTTTGCTGCTCACGTTCAATCTTAGCCAGCTCTAGTTTAAGTTTCATCGTTGCCAAGTCAGTTTTATCTGCAATATAGTAAGTTTCATGAGTTTCAGAGTCTATCTTACCTTGCTCTAAATAGTAATCCAGCAACAGGTTGTGTAGGTCATTTTTGTTGGCTTGGTAGGGAACTTCTAGTTGATACTCATGTGCAAGAGTTTGTAGTTCAGTCCTCTTGGCACGACTCAAAGTCCCTATTTCACCTGCTGGATTTGCACGGAAAGTTTGGAGACGAAACATGGTGAAATTAGCAAATAAAGGTACACGAATGTTCAATAATGAAATGTCAGAAACAGGACAACGTGGCAACTGGTACCTATCCTGTGTGATCTTTAACAATTAACGTTAAGTGAAAGATATTAAATGATTAAATGAAATCAAGGGCGCAGGAAATCTTGTACCCGGTACTCATGTAAGAGAATAAGGGCAAGAAAATCCTACTAACAAATGAAACAAAGTTTCGAAAACAAATGAAACAGTTAAATGCTTCAAAAGTAAAATTGGTAGTCCAAGGATGTAGGCATACCTTGCCAAGTCTCTATAGGACATAAAGCAAGTTTTTCCTACTGAATTTAATATGATACTTACAGAATTAGCGAACTTTTGTGCTCTGAAAAAATAAGCTAATTCCCTACCGTTGTATGTATCATCATCTCTGACTGACGTGTAGGGGTGCGAGGTGTCAACTGGTGACGAGAACTGCTGCTGAGGTCCCAATTCAGCAACTAAAGTTCGAGCTAGAGGAACTATGGCCCTCTTTGTCCTCCTACAGTCAGATTGCAGAAGATTGGGTACTCTTGACCCGGGGCAGACCACAGTACCAGGGTACCAATATGATGATCTGTCAGAATGAGAAATATTCAAGGGACATAGATGGTAAACACGAGTAATAACAAGGAGGGAGAGATGACCAATTAAGAGTATGACTGAGGCCTACAGTCACCACGTAATCCAAAGTTGTCTCACCTTCACTAATGTTACTCTCGTAATGCACAATACACCGCACCTTATAAAAAATGAAATTGAATGAAAAATAGTAAAGCTACGTTAACAAAGTTAAATACGCTTACCATAAATTACCACTTGGCACCAGTACCTGAGTGAAGCTCCTAGGACAGGCCCCCATATAACTTGTGACGGTAACGCGTTGGTGTATATATATATACACATATATATATATATAACACACATATATATATATACATATATATATATATATATATATATATATATATATATATATATATATATATATATATATATATATATATATATATATATATATATATATATACATATATATATATATACATATATATATATATATACATATATATATATACACATATATATATATATATATATATATATATACATATATATATATACACATATATATATATATATATATATATATATATATATATATATATATATATATATATATATATATATATATATATATATATATATATATATATATATATATATATATATATATATATATATATATATATATATATATATATATATATATATATATATATATATATATATATATATATATATATATATATATATATATATATATATATATATATATATATATATATATATATATATATATATACATATATATATATATATATATATATATATATATACCTATATACCTATAAATATACTATTATAATATCTACGTCATTTTATATATATATAGTATATAGTATATGGAGGATATATATGTATATATATATATATATATATATATATATATATATATATATATATTATGCATGCTCTACTAATAAGTCATTTTATAGGTACAGTATATAGTTTGGAGGACTTGTGTACAATTGTAAATCTTTTTAAATGAACACTGGGTAAACTATCTTTGCAGGTGTACAGTGGACGAAAAACCAACAACTCATTATCGTCGGTGGCATTTTCATTAAATCACACTGCAGTAGTACCTGAGCCAGATGTTACCAGTGTGAACTCTGTCACATCACCACCCACAAAAAAGAAAGTCAAGAGTGCTCATATGTAAGTTTGATATCCTTTAATCAAATTTTAATAATATTCAGTGAGTGACTTACTAGCAATAATTGTTGAAGTTGTTAATAAAATGGCACTCGATGCCAGGTGTTACTGAACATAGTAATGATATTAATACTGCTAGTTTTCCATTTTACTTACTGTATAAAGTAATAAGGAGAGGTTTAGGAAATTATAGTTGTCACCAAAGTTTTCTATATCCAAGATAATGTATTGCATTTCTTTGTAGGGTTTTACAAACTGAGGATGATTTGCGGACAGGGATGTACAAAGTTCTTGAACATCTACGGGACCATGAAGATGCTTGGCCATTTCATGATCCAGTTGAAGAGGAATATGCACCCAATTACTATGCTGTCATCCGGAGACCGATGCACATCACTAGGGTTAGCATCAGTTTACCAGAATGGTTTATTTAACAAAACATAACTTTTGAGTTATTTAATTTGAGTCATTTAATATTTACCTTTGAGTGAGTTAATATGCTTTATATGTATGTATTTGTAAGTGAGCTTACCTACCTGTCCCTTCATTTTGTTTTCCTTCACCTGAAAAAGACTGTCACTGTTCACCTTATGGAATGGAAAATTAGAAATGTACAATAGTACCAAAGGGAGGCAACAAACTAGGATGTGTTTACACCAGCCACGAGGGTTACCCCAGTGTAAGAGACGTCCCTCAATGATAATATACTGTGGATATATATATTGTAATATGGAAATGTGAATCTAGGAATTAATAATAGATAAGTTAATATCATTGCAAGCTGGAAATTAAGCAGAAAACTCCTTACGGTAATACAGACAGATAATAAATCATTGCTATAAATCAAGGAACTGGCAACTAGTCACATATACCCAGCTACCTGGGACACATAACAGTCAACTGTACATCCCACTGGGACCACCTTCCTGTACTTTAAGATAAGTACTTGCACATAAAGTTTGAGCATTTAAATATTAATATATACATAATATTATAAATACTGTATATACATATATTATAAATATATACATATAATATTATTAATATACAGTATACATATAATATTATATACATATAATATTATAAATATATACATATAATATTATGAATAGTAAAATACTAAGGACAGCAATGGATACATTCAGTGATGCACAAATACGATACAGTACAATGAAGTGCAAACTAACATTATTAACAGTAGTAGGTCCAAGAGAAACAAGAAGTAAGAAGAGTTATTCAATCGATTCAATTTCAACAATAAGAGGATCGACTGGGAAAAAATAAATGTAGAACTCGTAAACATTCAATGGGAAATAGTCTTAAGCGACAAAACTCCAACACAGGACATAGCCCAGGTCGGACTACCATGCATATGACTAATTTCATCAAGTGTTTCTTTACCACCTCCTCAGTTATTACCATGTCGATTATTGTACTTTCTATTCATCAAACATTGCCCTTACCAAGTCTCCAATCTGGTTTGAGTTTTAAGATCTGGAAACCTGGTTGAGTTCTTTGCAGACCCTTTTTACTGCTGTGTGAAGGCATTCCCATCTCTTCTTAACACTTTCGCGTTCTGGACGTGCACGCGCCAGACTATCTCAAGGTGGCCCAGATGTTTCCCATGAGAGTGCGGCAACACTGAAATGTATATACTCTTCTCACTTTTATCACCTCAATTTTCGTTGTATGTCGTTCATTTTAATATCAGTTTGTTCACAATAGAATTCCCTACAGGGGTACATGCATATAAGGTCCAAAAGCTTGGAGCGCCCCACCTGTAGCAAAGCCAAAAGTCGGCCAGGCGTTATCCATGAGCCAGTACCCATTGGCACACTCGCTCACAAATGTATTTACTCTTTTTCAAGTTTCTTACCTCAATTTTTATTGTACATCGTTCATTTTGGTATCAAAATGTTCGCAATAGAATCCGCTACAGGAGTATGTGCATATTAGGTCCTAAAGGCTGACATGCCACCTGCACCAACCAAGGAATTGGCCGAACGTTACCCGTTAGTGCGCAAGAGCAATACAATGTGTATACTCTTTTTCACTTTTGTCACCTTAGTTCTTGTGCTACATCTTTCATTTTGGTATCAATTTGTTCGTAACAGAATTCCCTATGGGATATATGCATATAAGGTTCAAAAGCCCGGCGCACCCCACCAGCAGCAAAGCCGAAAGTTGGCCAAGCGTTACCTGTGTGCCAGCACCCATTGACACACCTGCAACATCTGCTCACAAATGTATTTACTCTTTTCAAGTTTCTCAACTCAATTTTTACCTCAGTTTGCAATAGAATGGGAAGACATTAGCGCATATTTTAAAAAAAGTCCCATAAAGATCGGATAAAAATTTAAATTTTAACAAATATTTTAATTTTTGACATCACCTACTTCCCTATGGAACATCCGCAGAGTTATTTGTGGACATCATCTTCGTCCCTAAGGAACGAAAGTGTTAATCTGCTCACTTGGTTCTTTACTGCCATTTTCCTTGTGCTGCTGTGTAGTGTTCTTTAGCTTTTGCCAATGTCATTTTCCTGTACAATACAAATTAATTGGAATACATACTGTACCTTTACTAAGATCTATAATAAATTATATATCGTTAAAGAAAATATATTAGGTTACATAATATATTGTACCTGTACATTACAGAGAAATTAGATAGAATATGTACCTGTAATAAGATCTATACTATACATCTTTACTGAAAATTCAATTGAAATATATATCTTTACTGAAAATTCTATTGAATATACACTGTATATCTTCACTGAAAATTCTATTAAAATGTATATCTTAACTAAGAATGCTATTAAAATGTATACTTTTCTGTAATTCTATTTAAATATGTTATTTAACAGAGAATTCTGTTAATAAAAGGTTTATCTTTTCTGAAAATTCACCAAAATTTCAGATGGAGGAGCGCCTTGATGCTGGATATTATTCTAATCTTAAAATGTTTGAGGGAGACTTTAAACTGATGATGGATAATTGCAAACTTTACAATGGTCCAGAAAGTGGTAAGTTTACTCTTGCCTTTATTAATATTTTTTGTGCAAGCATTATAGTCATTAGAATGTGCAATAATATGTTAAACAGTCGACTTGATAATGGTCCAGGACGGACTGAAACGTCGCCGTCTCTTCATCTTCTGGTGTGTGGTTTGGTCAACATGTTACTAAAAGCTTTAATTTTTAACATGGATAAAAAGAGTGTGTTGTTGCAGTCTTATGAATTCCATTGGGTTGGTCCTTGCGTTAGCATCATTCCAGTAAGATAGGCGGTTAAGTATAACCAAAGAAGTTTTCAGATTAATAATTATGTAAGGATTAGGTCATAAGAATGCTACTTGAATTAAAGTGATAATGTGGTGATTTATTTTTAACCCTTGAAATGGACATATAATAAATCAAGTAATGTTTATGTTAAAAAAAAATTGTTTTTTGTCTTCATATATTGTTTCCTGAGCATAGGAAAATGTCCAAAAAATAGTAAGCTACTTTCCAAGTTGACAGATGTTTACTGGAGACATGAAATACCAATTGAGAACTCTGTATATATAGTGTAGATCCAAATGTTGCAATGTACATAAAACATATTTTGATTATATGCACAATATGGGTGGATTTTCTTAAGATGATATGCACACTATAGGTGGATTTTCTTACGATATGCACACTATAGGTGGAGTTTCTTAAGATATGTGCACTATAGGTGGGTTTTCTTAAGATGATATAAACATCTCAAGGGTTAAATAGTAGCACAGTATTTTAGTGGGTTATATATGGCATCCAGCTGTTATGAATACCCATATATGACAATTCTTCTTTCTTATTATAGAGCTTAACCTCTAGTTACAGAGCTTTTCTGATTCCTGTCCTGTATTTTTATTCCCATTGACAAAAAGTACAAGACTGCAGTTAGGATAAATCAACATTTCCACACTGGCACAACAGAGATCTTTTCAAATAGTCACGTTGGAAGCAAAGGAGACAATGGAGAATGTGGGGGGTTCAGTGTTCAGCTGTAAGAAGTAATGATGTACATAGCACTATTACAGAATAACATTTTTAATCAGAAATCTGTGTTTTACATTTAACACTAAAAGCACAAGTATAGTAAAAATATTACAAAAAAGTAAGATTGTCTAGATATTATACTGAGCCTGTCTGGATTATTTTCAGAAATATGGGCTCTCTACCATGTTTGTGTGAACCTTTCAGTTAGTAAAATTCTTCTGAAATTTGGGAATTTCTAAGATAGGTATCATACTTATGAGTGAATCTTCTTGAGCACATTCTATGCTGAAGTGTTCATTCTCCAGTGCCTCCTTGGCACCAGTATAACCTAACAAAGACTTATGAGAAATGTCCCTGCTGTGCCAGTGTACAATGTTGATTGCCTATGTTCGGTGATCATTACTTAGTGTTTATGAAAACTGCAGGACCTTGCTTGAAGACCTTTATCATATACAGTATATTCAAAGCTTAATATCGGTGTATTAATTAATATTAATTATTGTATATTCATTTGTTTTGCAGAATACACCCACATGGCATACACACTTGAGAAAGTGTTTGCTAAGCTCAAGGCTAAATACCTTGAAGCAGACCTTTCCTCTGATGAAGAAATGTATATCGACATGAGCTACCAGCAAGCAGCAAAGAGAAAGAATAAGAGAAGAAGCAACAGCGATGAGAAGGAAAACACAAGAATAGACGGTGGAAAAGGCACACCAAAGAAACGAGGACGCAAAAAAAAGAAAGTTGGAAGAAAACCAAAGGAAAAACATAATAATGATTCACATGTTTCACCAGAGAAGGAAAAAGAATGGAAAAAAAGTAAATTTTCCAGGGAAAAAGACAAAGAAAAAGACAAAACTAAGAATAAAGACAAACCAAAGATAGATGAATATGAATTTCGTGATGATGATGATGAGGATGATGACGACGATGATGAAGATGAGTTTGAGGAACCGCCCCTTCTAGTTAGGGAAGATCCTTATCCTGAGGAGGATGACGAGATGGAGGAAGATGAAGAAATGGCAGAACCTCTTTCCATTACTGAAGAGTCTCACAAGGAAGACACAATAGCTGTAAAAAATAAAGTGGGTAGACCCAGAAAGGAAGATGTGAGTAAAAAATTAATTAATGAAGTTATGACTGGCGAGGGCGAGGATGAGGAGGAGGAAGAAGAGGAGGACGATGACGACATGGAGCCCGATGTCTGCTTATATTACAATAATAACGACTATAGAAGTGATGAAGAAGAAAATGAGGATGAGAAGAGCAGTGCTGATTACATCAGTGAAAGACATAACGAATTATTTGGCGAAATAGATGATATTGAAGATGAGGATGAAGGTCAAGAAGTGGATGAAGAGGAAGAGGAGGAGGAGGAGGAGGACGAGGAAGAAGACGAGTCTGTTGTGAAAGTCAGTGAAAAAAATAAACATAATCATTCTGGGAAACAGAGTAAAAAGAAAAGTGGTTCATTGAAAGACAAAGAAAAAAAGAAGCACAAACACGGGGAGAAGCATGATAAACACCATCACCACCACCATCACCATCACCATCACCATCATAAAAGTAAATCAAAAGAGGGGAAGCATCATAAGAAGAAAAATAAACATGCTTCTGAAAAGGATGCTAAGAAGATATTGAAGGTGGAAGATGTTTATGACTATTCAGATGATGAAGATAAAGGGGAGAATGTAGAGGGTAGAGAGGGTAATAAAGTTGCAGTCAAAACCAAAGATGAGACTGGGAAGAAAAAGAAAAAAATCAAACATCGAGGAAAGCATGAGAAGCATGGAAAACATCATGATAAACTAGAAAAGCATGAAAAGCACAAAGAAGGGAAAGCTAAGGAAAGTAAGAAAGAAAGTAAAAAGAAAAACGGCAAGAAAAAGAAAATTCCAGCCAAAAATATGGCGGCAATTGATGCTTTGTCTGTGGCAACTGAACAGACACTTAAGGTAATGTTATATCTTGGTGCTGTTGCTCTTTCTGTTTTGAATGTTAATGATTCTTGTAATAAAGCTAGCCAAATCTTGGTACTCTGTTTATGTCAAATAATAACCATTCAGAATTTTGATTTGTGATAATTTCTTGTGCTCCCCCCATGTGCTCCTATTTACCATAAATTGTTCATGTACATGATCATAATTTTTATTCTTTTGAACTTAGTGTAAAAAAAAAACTTATGAGCTGTAGTTTATATATATAGCATTGTTGTTTCATTTAGTCATATTATGAAAGTTTAATATATTAGAACAATTATTTTGAATGTGAAAATCAGTAGTGGTTATGAAGAGGATTCGAAGCAACTCACTTGGAAAAGTGAGAACCATCTATAAGAGGAGGAGGAAGAGAAAGAAGAAATCCCAGCAGGAGAGGAATTCACAGAGATGATAGGTGAAGAGTACCAAGTGAGCGTGTTCGAGTCCTTCTCACGGCTCCTACTGATTATCTCATTGATACGTCTTGTTAATGTGATTTTATTGTGTATTATTTTGAATGTAAAACTTGTTTTAATTGTAATTACTTCTTTGTTTCATCAGGACATAACAACAATGCTGGATGATTCCAATGTCCCACGCATTAGTGAATATTCTTCTGCCAGCAACTCTCCATCACATAAGGTCACAGCTGAGGAGTTTGAAGCCATTGCATATAAAATTGAAGCGGAATACAGAAGAAAATTAATGATGGATGAACCCAAAGATAAAGATAAGAAGGCTCACAAGAAGAAGAAAAGGAAAAATGGAAATGGAGGAGATGGAGAAGAAGAACCAAAGAAGAAAAAATTGAAAAAAGAGAAAAAACCAGAAAATGATAAGGAAAGTTTAGACAATACTAAAGAACTATTTAAAGATATTAAGGATGGAAGAATAAAGCCAGGGGCTATTATCAAATCAAAAGATATTGCCAAGAAGGAGGGTGTTGTAAAAAAAGAAACCAAAAGCTCAACAGAGGGTAAGCCAAAAGCAAAGACCAACCCTTTCGGCAAGATAAATAAGCAAGAGCATTCAAAGTTGACCACACTCATAGCAAAAGCCAAAGAGTCACGAATTGGGTTAGTACCGAATAGCGAAGTAGGGGATAGTCCCAAACTTAGTCTAGGTAGTATTATCCTCTCAGGAGACATCGGCACAGGTATTAAATCATCACGTGAAGCTAACAGCACAGATGAAGAAGAAAAATGGGAACCAAAAGAGAAATGGGATAGCCCATGGGAAAATAGGTGGGAAAAAGTTCCAGAAAAGGAGGAAGCTCCATCTATAAGAGAAGAGGAAGAGAAAGAAGAAATCCCAGAGGTAGAAGAATTCACAGAGAGAATAAGTGAAGAGCCGCCACCAACACCAAGGGCTCCAGAAATAAAGCAAGAGCGAGCAACTCCTAATTTGAGTGCCTGGTTTAAGGCCTTTGGTACTCCCAAGCTCTCCTCAGCAGGTCCTAAGAAGATGCCGGATGAGCAGATGGACAGTCCGAAGGAAGTAGATGATAATGAAATAATTAATGTTGATGATGAAGGTGAAGTAGAAGAAGCTGAGCCAAACATACTGAATGAACCTCCTCCATCACTACTGCCACCACCAAGTCCAGAACCTCCAGTTTCTCCAGAGCCACCAATCTCTCCAGAGAAACCACCCGAGACTCCGTGGTATGAGAAATTAGATGAAAAATTAGAAGATGAACCAATCTGGAAGAAAATGAAGGTATGATCTTTTTTATTTACATAAATAATTTATACTGATGAACACACATCATATGATAGAGTATAGGGAAGACAGGACATCATGAGCGTAGCTCTCATCCTACAACTACACTTGGTTAATTACATTCAGTATATAATTATACACATATACACATTCTATTTATCACACTTTATTCCAGATGAGAAGAAGTAGAACAATGGGTCACATATGAAAAATGGAAATATAGATGAATCAGAGAGATTTAATGTGGGTGATGAGCTAACTGGGAGTTAAGGTGGTGGAAACCACAGAGATTCAAAATTTTAAGACCAAGTACGATAGTGTGCTAGAATGTAGATAAATAAATGTATTAGGTTATTAATAGCGTTGAAGGGATATACAATATAAATAAGCACATAAATACACACACACACACACAGGAACATGCATATATATATATGTCTGTAATTTTACTCTTAAACCATTGCCACACACTGCATGCAAGTATATTTTTAAATAAAAGTTCATCCAGTGTATGTATGTGTGTGTGTATGTATGTTAGTATATTTTGGTAGCAGTCTTTCCTGTAGACATATATCATTAAATATGACCGAAAAAGTAAGATTAATAATTCTAACACGAATTTTCTTGATCTTTCGTACGTTTCTTTTCACTGATGGTGGTAATTCAAAAATCAATTCTCGAAAACATGCATATATATATGTCTGTAATTTTCTTAATAAAATAAAAATGAATTTTGGAGAATTGATTTTTGAATTACCACCAACAGTGAAAAGAAACGTACGAAAGATCGAGAAAATTCGTGTTAGAATTATTAATCTTACTTTTTCGGTCATATTTAATAATGTATATATATGTATGTATGTGTATAATTTTGACTATTTTGAGTCTTAAAAATATAATTATTGTATTATGAAAAATAAAAGAAAATTCAAAAGGCATTGATGGAGCACACTTTTTCAAGCTAGTAGTTTGTGTTCCTTCCTGAACTAGCTACTTTGACCCAACCTTAGGCATACACAGCATTACTGTACACGATAAATCTCTCAACGTGATTATGTAACATTCATCGGGTTCTTTGGATTTTAAAAAACATTTATCTCTTAGTGCATCAAGTATTTTTAAAGCTCTTCAAAATGATCTTATCTTAATCAATTCTTCTTAATTAAAGTGACTTTCTTATAATGATTGACATACCATTCCCATGCTTTTTAATACAATACATACAACAGTATTTCACTTTCCAATTTTTCACTAGATGGAAGACCAAGAATATGCGATTCGGGACTGCAGTATGGTAAGATTTCAGCAATAATAAACATTATTTTCTCTACAATTAATATTTAATATTTCTCTATAATTTGTTTACCTTAATGAATTATAAGAGTATATCAAAAGAATAAATGTTTTTTGACAAAAATGTTCAATAGACAATGAATAATGAATATAGTATGAAGCACCAATTGTGTTCTGTTCCTTGCATTCTTCAAGGCAAAGAGGTGACCATACATCGCAGATAATTGCCACGGATAGTAACACTTGTTTATTCTTATGCAAGTATTGTCTGAGTTGGCACTGTACCTTGTTTTGTTTAGTGTGGTTGTTGAACACGGATTAAAATGTTCGTTCTGTAAATAAATTGAGAGATAAGGATGAATAGCAGGTCTATGTAGAGGACAGTTGTGATCCATAGCATGCACAGGGCTAGTTACATACCATCCTAGGTTCCTGCTAAATTCACTACCTTATGTCCAAATGATTACTATCTGAGCTCAAGCATAGTTTTAGATGTCAAATTATTTAGTGCTTTTATCCTATTCTGTTACTGTACCTGTGTCCTTCACTTCTACCGTGTTATTATTATCATTATTATTATTATTATAATTATTATAATTATTATTACTGTATTTTTATGTTTTGTTTTTGCTTGTGGGGCTAAGTGCTTTATTCAGTATTTATTTCACTGATAGTCTGACACATACTTACTCAATATAATCTTGCACATGCTGCTAGCTTTATTAATAATTTAATTTTTATTTTTAAGAACATAGTTATTTATTTTTCTAATGCAGCCTAAGTTCTCTTATCTAGTGGGAGAAATGCATTTTCTCACATTTTAGATTTGTATAATTCATGGTTTATGTCAAATTCTTCAGAATTTGTTTGACTGTACTGTGAGTTGTGTCATTACCGTGTGTGGTAGTGCTCATTGGCCTATCTTAATGAAAACTTTTTTGCCTTATAAGCTCAGTTAAATAGTTTGCTAAGATGACCCAAGTCACACATAAAATGTAATGATAATGACAGCGTTGCAGTCCATCCTGGATCCTTACCAGGACGGACTGAAATGTTGTCATTTTCGTGTCGTATGTGTGAGTTGGGTTACTCACCCACGTTATTGGGACTTATTCTCTTCAGTTTGATAAGATATCAAGAGATATATTAGATTATGAAAAAGAAAGATTAATAGTACTTATAATAATGTACCACTGAATAGATTTGAAATTTGATCTCAGCCTGGTCATAGATATCATGCATTTCAATTTGTATTGTCATGAAGTTTGCCACTTTAGAAGTGTGAAATGAATGAAATATGCATACTCTATCAAAATACAGTTTGTAATAATATTGTATAAGATCATTATTAATTTATTTGACACAAAAAGAGCTTTAACTCTTTGTGCAGCCAATTCCAAGCAAGGTGTTACAAATCTTGCACCCAGTTTAGTGTTAATAAAATCAGACATTTAAGTAGAATATTAAAAAATTATTATTTTTTAATTGGTTTATCAAAAAACCAGCGTTGAATGTAATGAAAAGCCATTTTCTGGGGGGAGCCCCAGATGCTCCCTGAAGCTATCGGACTGATATATGCTATATTAGTCTAGGGCATCAGTCAAAGGAGTTCAACCTACCAAGGAGGCCAGAACCTGGCCTCCTCAGAGAGGCATAGGGAGCCCATGGAAAACCCCATGTGTTTTAGAGCATTCCATGTCTGCCATTGACCAGGGTTAGGCACCCAGTAAGATAGGCACAACAAAACAGACCCCGCTTGGTAAGAAATTGCAACTGAAGATCAAACAGAGAGGTAGAACTTCCTAAAACCTAAAGAAACAAGCAAACATCATACACCTCTGCTGTGCCGGCTACTCGCACTTTGGTTCGGAGGCTGAGCATTAAAATACAAAAACTGCCAAACGGAGGGAGGGAGGGTGCCATGGAGCCTCAGGGGCTCACCCAGAAAATGGTATTTCATTACAGTACATTCAATGCTGGTTTTCTGTGGGAAGCCCCTCCGGCTTCCTGGAAGTATCTAACCAAAGACAAGTAAAAGAGAGACTTACCCGGGAGGTGGCTGCCACGCTTATCAATTCGAAGGCAAGACAACTGGCTGCAGCCTGCGACCCAAAGCGCATCCCCGGCCACAGAAGTCATAGCGTGCAGATAACAGCGAAGGGCCGCAACCGTACACAACACATGATGCACCCCCGGCCTGACCAACCAAGCATCAATGACCCAAAGGCCCCTCCGGAAGCCCGCCATCTCATTTTTCACCAGAAAAGAAAGAGATGGTTGCAACCAACCAAACAAACCAACTACCAGGACTGAAAGAGCAGAAACCCCTGTGCTGGAGGAGAGCATGAAGCTCACCAACCCGACCTCTGGAGGCCAATGCCAACAGATACAGAACCTTGGAAAAACAATCTTTAACTGAAGGAGCCACCACAAACTGAGGAGAGGAGAGAGAAAAGAGTGCACCTAGTTCAAGGACCAGTTCAAGGCAGCGCATGAGCAGGCCGGAGGTGAAACAAAGCCTGAGAAAACTTACGGAACTGGGCAGAAGTGACATCCACCTAGAACGCAAGCTGGAGTGGCTATGCCAGCACTGCACGATAAAAGGCAACAGTATTGGGCATCAAATGACAGTCCTGAAAAGCCAAGAAAGAAAGAACAAAACAAAACTCGATCAGAAACTGAAGACAATCTATGAAGAGAGAGAGAAAATGGCGAAAAGAACACCAGGAGACTTCATACTGTTGCCAAGATGAAGCTTGCAGGTGGGACATCATCAAACAAGCCACCTGATCACCAGACAAATGGTGATAGAGATGTCTCAAAAAGACCAGATGTGACGAGCGGAGGAGTAGAACGAACCAGCCATGTACTGGACCGGTCCAATCTGCTGAAAGAGGCAGAGCCTCGGAAAATGCCCCAAGTTTGGACACTGAGCAAGCAAGGCTGGGTCTGCCTGAAACCAAGGCTGGGCCGGCCTGAAACCAAGGCTGGGCCGGCCACCAAGGGGTCACAATGACGACTCTCCTGCAGTAAGACTCCAAAAGAGCTAGAACCCGAAGCAACAGCTGGACTAGGGGGAAGAGGTATAGGTAACCCCACCTCACCCAGTCTTGCTGAAAGGCGTCCACCACGACAGCTCCACAGTCGGGGAAGGACGCCACATACACTGAGAGACGCTGAGACCACTCCGATGCGAAGAGGTTCACCTTCAAGAGCCTGTACATCCGGCAGAGCCAACTGAAGGAGTCGGCATCGACCGTCTATTCTGTAGATGGGAATGAGCTGAGACAGGCTGACCATTATGACGTTGGACACTCCCCAGATACGAACTACAAGGAGAGCCAAACCTCAAGAATCCATCAGACGAGTCACTCGAAATGATCAGCTCCAAAGAGCCAAGGACTGAAGAGAACCCCCACGGTTAGGACAATGAACCACCAGAGAGCAGTCATAATGGAGACGGATCATAAATCCCCGAGTGACCTGAACCCTCCAAAGCGACAGCCAACCCGCCGCGAACTCCCTCACAGTTCTGTGAGCTCAGTGGAAGGACGTAGCCCACCACCCCTGGCTGACCTGGTGAGCACTGGTCAAAAAACCCCAACCGAGAGACGAGGCATCCGTGAAGTCTGACAGCTGAGTGGACAGCGCTTCGGATTTGTAGTGCTGAGGTTCTGGGTTCGATTCCCGGTGAAGGCGAAGACAAATGGGCAAAACGTTTCTTTCACCCTGATGCCCTTGTTACCTAGCAATAAATAGGTACCTGGGAGTTAGACAGCTGTTATGGGCTGCTTCCTGGAGGGTGTGTAACAAAAAGGAGGCCTGGTCGAGGACCAGGCCGCGGGGACACTAAGCCCCAAAATCATCTCAAGATAACCTCAAGATAACACATCAAGCGAGGGTTCGGGTAGGCGCCAAGGCAATGAATCCTGAAAACCCCAAAAAGCCGGTGACGCAGCAACTGATGCAAGGCCCCTGGAGGCCGAACCCATGAAAAGGGAAAGCTAGTAACATGGAACCACCGAGGAAACCACCAGAAGGAGGCATTTCATTACATTTAAAACTGAAATTCTGGGAGGGCTTCCCCTTCAATGGCTCCCTGAACTATTTCACCCTCAGAGCACAACAAAAATGGGTCTTATCAGGGAAAGAGGGTAGGAGGATCCAATAATCCCAAAGGGAATTCGGCACTAGGTCATTCTATATAATGCCACACAAGTCTGACATGGTCTAGGAACATTCACCAAATACCAGGCTGCTAGGACCTTGGTAGACCACCAAAACCCATGAGCTTGAATCTCTGATCAAGACACATTCACAAAGTGGAAAGAGTCAAACACTTACGAATATAATGGGCCACCGTGTGTAGTTGGCAGACTGGGTAAACGTCCATGCTGTGGATGACCTAGAACAAGGAACTAAAGACCTGGGATTGAGAAACAAATCACCATCCAAAGAACAATGGTTTGTCAATCCTAGAATGTTCCAAGAAGGGTCCTTTGTTAACAACCAAAGGACCCTTCTAGAAACCCAGCCATCTCATTTGTAGCCATAAAGGATGGAGGCTGCTGCAAACAAAGAAACTGCTCACTGGAGCCAAAAGAGCAAAATCCCCACTTCCGTAGGTAAGCATGAAGCTCCCCCAATCCTACAATCAAAAGTGAGATGCAATTTAAACCACCTTAAGAAACAAATTCTGGACCAAAGGGTTCACAGAGAAATTAGCAGGCCACAGGATAAAGAAAGCATAAAACAGCTTCTGAAACAATGTTGGAACATCAGTGTTGAAAGCCAAAAAAAGTCGCTCTGCTAAGGATGACCTTCTCACCAAACCATAATTAACACTAACGTTTATTTAGCCAACCCACCAATTCAATTGTCAGCCAGCCAACTAACAAGCAGGCCAACCTAATTATTATTAAGCCAACCAGCTAAGGAGCAATCAACTAACCAGCCAATCAACTAACCAGCCAATCAACTAACCAGCCAATCAACTAACCA